TCACATCTGCAAGCACTGCATGCTCGCGCGGCCAGCTCCGCGTTGCCGCATGTGTGCATCCACCAGCGCGCGGATCTGCGCTCGGCGTTCTGGCGGCGCCGCAGCCGATGCCGCCGCGACCGCAGCTGTGTCAATGCCTCCCGGCCTTTCGTCGTCGCCACCGCCGGCGTCGTTGCCCTTGAGCACGAGGGCGATCATCTCAACGTGCCCGAGCGCCGCTGCTGCCTCGATCAGCTGCTGACCGATGCTGCCTGGGTGGCGGATGTGGAGCCACTCGACGAGAGCCAGGTCGCCGCGCTCGACGGCCAGCCGCGCGGCGAGCGGCGCGCAGCGCGCATCGTGGGCGATCATGGCGGCGAGCGCGGCCACGCAGCCGCCGCGAACGGCAGCCGCCACGTCGTCGTCGGCGAGGGCGACGCTGCGCTGGCGCAGCAGCCAGCGCACGGCGGCGCCGTGGTCGCCCGCGACCGCGCCGGCGAGCATGTCGCTCGACGCCGCGATGCCGAACACATCGCAGGCCCACGCTGCGCCGGCGGCGTCGCCGCGCGCCAGCATCGCGGCGAGCGCGGGCTGCGGCTGCGGGGCGATGCCGCGGGCGAGCAGCCAGCGCAGCGCACGGGCGTCGCCGACGGCGGCGGGCTGCGGGCCGCCGAGCGCGGCAGCGACGGCGGCCGGGAAGCGGGCGGCGAGCGCGTCCAGCACGGCGACGCGGCCGGCGGCGGCGGCGAGCAGCACCGTCGAGCGCGTGCAGCGGGCGGCGGCGTGGGCCGCGAGCCACGCGGCGACGTGCGCGTGGCCCTCGTGCGCCGCGGCGTCCATGGCCGCCTGCGTCACGGCCGCCGGCCGCCGCGCGTGCAGCCACGCAACCACGGCCAGGTGCCCGCCGGCCGCCGCCGCGACCGCCGCGCTCGGCGTCACCGCCGCGCCGCGCTCGTCCACCAGGTGCTCCAGCAGCCACAGCGCGCCGGCCGCCGCCGCGACCGAGCACAGCACCTCGAGCCGCGCGCTGCTGCCGGCGCTGCCGCCGCCGCCCGTGTCGCCCGTGTCGACCAGGTCCGCCCACCCGCGCGCGACGGCCACCCGCTGCAGGATCCAGTGCGAGGCGACTCCGGCCGCCGCTGCCCGCGCCAGCATCCCGCGGCTGCCGATCGCCAGCATGCACTCGCTCGAGCCCGACACCGCCGGCAGCGAGCGCAGGTCGCCGCCCCACTCGCTCGCCAGCGCCTCGGCCCACACCTGCTGCCGCACCGGCGGCGTCAGCTCGGCCGCCAGCAGCCGCCCGTGCACGAACTGCGTCAGCGGGCCGGCCGCCGCAACCACCATGTCCACGAGCTCGCGCGGCAGCCGGTCCCAGTGCGAGCCCCCGTGCGCGGTGATGCCGCTGCTGCCGCTGCTGCCGCCAGGCGCGGGCCGCCGGCTCGTCCACATGCGGCAGCGTGTCGGTTGTCGTTGGGCGGCGGCGGCTCGGTGCTGCCTCCTCGAGCTGCCTGGAGTCGCGGAAAGTGGTTCGAGGCAGCCCGGCTCGCTGATGCCTGTCCTCTCCCACCCACATCAGGCACCACACAGCGCTCACCGCAACACCTGCGGCATGCTCTCGCAGGCGGTTGTCGAGGCCAAGAGGCGTTTATATAACCTGCAAACGAGGGAGGCGAGCCAAGGGCTTGGGAATCAGTGAGGCATTCGAGTTCAAACTCGAGCAGTGGTTGAGGTCGAGTGGTGCTCGCACAAGAGCGAGCGACGCAGAGGAAGACTGCATGCGTTTGGCGAGAGAAAGAGAGAGATGTGCAGTACGAGGTTGGGCCGGCTTGTGACTGCGGCCGTGTCTTGTCAGCGACGGGTTGTGGTGCCGACAGTGGGATATCGCGCGCCGAGCCAGCCGACAATGCTGCTCCCGGTCTCGGCGGCGTGTGCGGCGATCACGGCAAGCATCGAGGAGTCGTGCAAGATCAATGCTTTGAGTGCGTCCAGCGACTTGAGCCGGACCGCGGCGGCGATGGAGTCATGCGAGACGGCGATGCCGCGTTGGGCGAGTATCCACCGCACGAGTGCGCCGTGGTTGAACGAGCATGCCTCGACCAAGACGTCCTGTGCGACCGGCAGGCAGAATGCGCCGCAGAGCCACTCGACCGACTCGGCCGCGCCGTCCTTGACCAGCGCTCGCACCGAGTCCTGCGATGCCGCGAGCATGCCCCGCGCATGCAGCCACTTGAGAACCCGCACGTCGCGGCCAGCGGCCGCCGCATCGATCGTGCCCGCATCGCGCAGCAGATGCGGCCGCGTGCTGGCCAGGTGCTGCAGCACGTGCAAGCGGCCGCCTCGCGCAGCTTTGGCAACGGCATCCGCGGTGCATTGCACGCCCATGTGCTGCTCGAGCCACCCGAGGGCATGGACGTGGCCGTTGCCCGCGGCGTCGTCGGCGGCGCCGCGCGAGCACTTGGCGCCGAAGCGGCCATGCAGCCACTCGGCCACGCCAACGTGGCCGTTGGCGGCGGCGCAGTCGACCAGGTAGGCGCCGCAGTGCTTGGCGGGCATGCGCTCGCAGACAAACCGCACGGTGTCGGCATGCCCGGCCATCGCCGCCATCGAGGCGTGCATCCAGTCGACTTGCGCCGTCTTGCGGACGTCGACGAGCTCCGCGAGCAGCCACACGGCGCCTTCGCGCGCGGCGGCCTCGGCCAGTCGCTCGGGCTTGGCGTGGTCGAGCTCGTCGGTCCAGCCGTTGCGGATGGCGACGCGGCCGAGCGTCTGGGCGTCCGCGATGCCCGCCGCTCGGATGCGTGCCAGCATCGCCCTTGATCGCACGGACGTGAAGCACGCCGAGAGCCCAAACGGGCTCGGCAGCGACTTGAGGTCGCCCTGCCAGTCGCACTCAAAGACGTCCCGCCAGAGCTCGTCCTGCTGCGCCATGCTGAGCGACTGCAGCTCCGCGGGCAGCACGACGCCGGCCGCGAACTTGGTGAGCGTGCCGGCGGCCTCGAGGACCATGTGCCTGAGCTCGGCGGGCATGCGGTCCCAGTGCGATGCGCCGGGCGGCAGCGCGGCGGCGGCCGCCGCCTCCAAGCCAAGGAGCGACAGCGTGTGTCCCATTCCCGCGGAGCGGGGAACGTGCGGCGTCGCGGTTTTTATTTCGGCCCGCCGGCACACAGCCGGTAAGAAGGAGCCATGCTGGCAGGGCTCCGTCTTTCAGGGACTGTGACGAGTCAGCCACCCGCCGCTTGGCCACTGATGCGGCCCCTGCCCGCGACAGCCGGGCCTGGCTGGGCGTCTGGCGCAGTCAGATCTCGCCGAGGCACTGCTTGGCAACGGCCGCCCTGTGTCGGTGAGTGCTGCCCGCTCGCCGGTGCACTCCCTCCCCGCGCACACCGCATGCTTGCACGGCACTGGCCGAGTGCGCCATCCTGGCCGGCTGCCGACGTTATCCCAAAAAGCCGCCGTCTCACACTGGCAGAGGCTTCATTCACATCATCAACGCACTTGTCAGAGCCCGCCCTGGTGGGACTCGCCCAGAGGCGCCTTGGACTGCCTGGCCAGGCGAGACAGGACCATCAGCAGCCGCCGGCAGAGAGTCTCGACTCCGTCGTCGCCGTGGCCTGGGCGGACGCCGGCGCTGGCGGGCGGCGAGGCGGCAGTGCTGCGTGCCCTGCGCTGGGAATGCACCGAGGTCCAGCGCGGACGGGTCTCGCGGCGGGTCGGCCTGGCCTTGCGCCTTGCGCCAGGCAGGTAGTGGGTCCAGATGGCGTGCGCAGGCGGCACGAACCGCGGCGCCGGTCCGGCAGCGAGCGGCACCTCGGACAGGGCTCCCAGCGCCGCCGCGGCCGCCGAGAAGCTCGCGCTTGTCGACGCCGCCGCCGACGCCGCTGCATCCGCGGCCGCGGCCAGCCTGCGCCAGAGCCGGTCGAGCCTGCGGCGGCAGGTGCCGAGCGGCGCAGGCTCTGCGCGGGCCGCCGGCTTGGCGAGGCGGAACCCGAAGCCCGCGCCAGTGTCGACGGGGAACACCAGATCGCACCCGACGGTCGAGATCAGCGACGCCGTGTCGGTCGCGCACGAGCTTGCGTCGACCCGCGGCTCGACCACGGCCGTCAGGTGCGCAGAGGACTGGGAATCGTCGCTGTCGGCCTCGGCGCAGTCGGCGTCGTCCAGGCGCGGCGTCGGCGGCAGCGGCGGCAGGCGTTTGGTCATGAGTCCGACCGCCAGCAGGTGGAGCACAACGACTCCCACGACTGCCGCCGGCAGCGGGACGTTGAAGGTCGGCAGCTGCGCAGTGAGCTCCAGGGCGGCTGCGCATCCGCCGTCAGCTCAAGCCGACCGTGCCATGAGGCGGCGAGGCCACGACGCACCTTGGACGAGACCGCCGTCCGGCACCAGCATCCGGTTCAGCCGGTTCAGCCCAGCCAGCACGACGGGCGTGGTGGCGACAGCCAGCGGCTCAGAGTCGTCGAGCACGGCTGCGCCGCAAAGCGGGCGAGACGGCGCCAGCACCGGCTGCAGCACCACGGCGGCCGGCGGCGCGGTGGCCAGGGCCGCGGAGCTGGCGAGCGTGGGCGTGGGCCGGTCGACGGCGCACGGCACGGGCGGGAGCGTCGAGTCGGCCAGCGGCTGGACGAGCACGCCGAAAGCAACGACAAGGCCCCTACGGAACGCCTTGGCCGAGGGAATCATGGCGCGCGGCAGTGCGTCTGCTGCGGCCGGCGCGCAGGGGGGGGGGCGGAGAAGGCGGGTGTGCCGGCCGTGAGCACGGGGAAGTCGGGCGGAGGCAGCCGGGGCATTTTTGATGGCGGTCGGAGTTGGCTTGGCGGAGTGTCGGAGCATGCGGCTGACGTGGTGCGCGGCGCGGGGCCTCAGCGAGATGCGCACATGGCCGCAACAGTCGTGCGCATCATGCGTGGGTCTGGGCTGTGCGTGCAGCCAGCGCAGTGCCCGCAAACAGCGCGGACACGTTCACCATGCTTGCTTTGTGCGGCGCGGATTCCAGTAGCGGGTCGGCGCCGCGACGAACGTGCGGTTCCATAGTGTAGCTGGTCATCACACAAGACTCTGAATCTTGAAACCCGAGTTCGAATCTCGGTGGGACCTCTTTATTGCCCCGCTGGCCTTTTGGCCAACCTCGACCCGCTCGAATCTGCCGCAAAAGTCGCTCGCGCTCGAGTCTGCGCCGGTGCGGCTCGGTTGGCTTCCGCCGGCGTGCATTCGGGGCCTCAAAAATGCCAAAAACACCGGCGTCGCGGT